TCATCTTGAGATTGAGTGAGATAATATATGTAAAGCATGTAGCAGAGTATCTGATCCATAGTAAGTATTATACATATATACACACACACACACAAAAAAAAATCCTACTGCTGTCGAGTCGATTCTGATTCATAGTGACTGCCACATCTTTCTCCTGACTCATGTGGTTGCAGAGACTGAGGAACCAAAAATTGGCAGGTCAGGGAGTGGGCTGCTAGCTCACGGGTTTGTGGCAGCTGGCAAATCCCAAGATCAGCAGATCAAGCAGCAGGCTGCTGGCTCACGTCCGAAGAACTAGAGGTCAGAAGATATGAGTTGGACGCAGGATCCAGAGAGAGCTTTGCTAGCACATCCACACATATTGGATGCAGGGCACACCCCCAAGGAAATTGATTGGCTTTTAACTGATTGGCCTTTCAACTGATTGGCTGTTCACATCAGATCACAAAACGGAAGATGATTACATAATATCTGCCAAACCACTGAGAATCATGGCCTAGCCAAGCTGGCACATAACCTTAACAATCACAATGCAATATCCACTTAGGAACTATGATTGTTATCCCTATTTTATAGCTAACCACCTGAAATGGAGAAAGGTGAGGTCACTTGCTCAGGTAACCAGAAAGTGAGATTCCAACCCAGGTCTGTATGGCTCCAAAGTCCCTGTTCCTTCCTCTACTATGGGGCTGCCTCAGAGACATTAGATCACCTTTCTGAAAGAACATTCTATTTGGGAGATAGAGAGTATGTACACACCGCTATGACAAAAAGCAGAAAATGGTAAAGGACATAAAAGAGGTACAAACTAGCAGTAATGAGAGACTGAAGGAGGGCTCCCTTATTGGAAGTAAATTCCCTGGAAACTGGAGTCTAACAGTCTTTACTTTTTAGTAGGGAAGCTGGTGCACCATGATAACAGCCCCAGTTCCAGGACTAAGTTGGCTAGCCACATTTCACATTGTTTTCAGCTGCCTGGGGATTACCTTCCCAAGCCTCTGGCAACTCCACTGACCCAGGGGAACACCGGCAGGTTTAACCCCAGTGGCATTTTTGTAAAGCTGTCAAATACCATGTAGAGAATAACTGGAGGCCCCTGTCCTGCCACCAGCACAACTGCTTACTTAGCTACAGTTTTAAGCCATTATCAAACATTTTATATGAACTCTTTGCACCTGAATCTGGGATAGGTGGGCCAAAAAGACCCTAGTGGCCTGTTCATCTTTCTATGGCAAAGCCAAACTCACACAAAACAGTTGTCGACCACTGTCTGCCTCATCCCATCCAAAGCTCTCTCATCTGATGAGGGCTTTTAATCACTGTTTTCACTTTGCCTTCTGCTCCTTCTAGAGAATTTCTGGCAACATTAACCAATTAACATCCAAATAACTAGAAATCCTTCACTATCTCTCCCATGTGTAGGGGAAAGAGGAAGCTGGAAGGGGACATGAACAAGAGAAATCAGTAGTCTATGGACCATGTAACAGACGACGCTCCATCCTCTCCTGTCTAAATGAGACAATGAGGCCCAGAGAGATGAAGTTAACATGCCCAGGGTCACACAGCTTGTGGGTGGCAGAGCCAGTATGAGGACCTGGATCTTCTCACTCCAGTTCTTTTCTATAGGACTGTTGATGAACTCACTCACTCCACTGGGGTTGCTAAGTTGTATGCTGTGAATCTTGCTTGCCTTCATGTCCCCTACACCCAGGGATGGAGGGAGCTATATGAAGACCTAATGACATCACCACCAAGACCCTGCATCCAGTTGTGCCTGAAACCATAACTACCGTTGGACTTTTCTATACCATGAACCAATATATCTCCTATTTGGGTTAAACGAACTTTTTTCTCATTTCTGCTTCTTGTTAGTTTGTAATACTATAATAGCATGTTGTTGTTGTTGCTAGCTGCCGTCAGCTTGGTCCCTGACTCATGACAACCCCACGCACAACAGAATTAGACTATTGTGATTCATAGGGTTTTCACTGGCTGATTTTTCAGAAGTAGATCACCATAAATATTGTTTCTCAATAAATATTATTTTCTTTTCCCGTCTCTACCTGAAACTTGCCTTATTACAAGTCCACAGCCTTTCCAAAAGGTATTCTTTGCAAAAACATTGAGTGTTGAGTTGTTTTTTGGTCTCTAGGTTTAATAATATGAGAGAGAGAGTCCAGAATTGCTGGTTCTCCCACATGGCAGACCAGGGAGTGGCCAGCCACACAGCGTCCACGTTTAGCATTTCTGGGGAAACAGCTCACAGGGTCTGTTGAGATGCAGTGTGCTCTTTGAAAATACAGCCAGTGGCAGATGTATATGTGCTCATGACTGTACAGTTATTGATTTCTAATTTGTACCCTGTTTACTTCCAAAAAGGCCCTGGAGTGGCTGACAAAATAAGACAAAGACACAATAGGGGCATTAAGAAAAATCAAAGATCAAGCCCAAAGGGAAAAAAGGGATTGCTGATTATAGCTCAAACCTGGGTTAACATAGTTGCTTCAGTAAAAAATATATTATATTTAGCTCTCAGCTTTCTGGCAGCTATTCAGAATGTGTTGTGATGGGGTATCCTTCATGTTTGTAGCCCAATACCCAGCACAGGGGTCAGGCTGGAACAAGCATCTAGGAAAAGCTAACTGAATGAATGAATGCATGAATGGTGGATAAAAGAACTAAGGCTCCCTGAGAGCACTGTTATATCCATAGGCCTACCTCAATCATTCATTTATCCATTCATTCAACTATCATTGACTGGTTTCCTATATTGTGCCTGGCCGGGGGCATGGAGCAGGACGGATACCAACATAAATCAAAAGTAGTTCCCGCCTTCAAGACCACAACTCTTCAGCTTGAAGCAAAAGCTCTGTGAGCTTTATCACAGTGCCCATAGCAACTCCCAACCTCTTCATGGCCCCCAGAGAAAGGAGATCATAAACTGAGGTTGTGAAGACTGGAATTGTAGGAGTAACAATAATTATCTTGGTAATACATGTATAAAGCACTTTAAACCTTGTAAAATGCACACTTATCACTATACTATAGGATACTTTTATATAGCTCTTAGGTAGGTAGAATGGCAGGGGGAGTCACCCTTTCACTGATGAGGATATTTAGGCACAGACAGGGGAAGAGACTTTCCCAAGCTCTCTTAGCTAGAAAACGGCAGTTAGGACACAACTCAGGTGTTTCCCAGGCCCCTGTGCTGCCCGCCTGGGCCTAGCCTCTAGTATCTCAGAGACTTCTTATCACAGCCTGAAATTCCATCTCTGCTAGGATCAAGACCAGCCTCGCACAAAATGGGCATCACCAGATGGCCATGGGAGAGCCGCGAGGCCATGAGTTCCGTGAGCAAGAACCAGCCCACCTGGACTCCTGCAACAACTGGACCACTCGGATTCCACCCACGCAATATTGTTCAGCAGCCCAAGCCTCACAGACACCTTTTCTTTGCCTAGAAACTGATACTGAAATTCCAGCTGACTAGCATATAATCTGCCTTATTTAGTTAAGAGCAGGTTGGAAAGCTGGAATGTGGAGCTCAGTTGAGAGAAAGCTATTAGGTGAACATTTAAGAAAAGAGGTACACAGGGCAGGGGAAGGTAAAACCCAAGGTGGTTTCCCCCATATGTCTATTTGGTATTGCTTATTCAGCTCTGCTAGGAACTCAGGCCTGCAGAACTGCACTTCACCCATCCTCACACCTACCAAGGTGGATCCAGATTGGAAGAGTGGAAGGGGAGGAGCATGTCCTTTTACCCTTTAGCACAGTCAGCTAGGTTGACTGAACAAGAGAAATTGAGTGCACAGCAAGAGGAGACCTTGACAAAACACAGGTGTGTCCTAGAGAAAGTTAGCAAGGCCACTCCACCATTAGAATGTTAGCCAACCCTTTCCTGTCATTGTTCCAACAAAGTGCCCTTTTAAAATACATTTATGTATATACTGTGTGTGTGTGTATATTCCTAATTCAGAACTCATTCTTAAGTGAACATGCTGACATGTGTTTTACATTTCCCAATTTATCCCAGGGCCTACATGCATTGTTTGACTGCATAAGTAGGTATTAACCACAGCCATTGGAAATGAGCACAATGGCCACAATCTTGGAGCCTCCCCAGTCATGTTAGAGTCTTACCGGCCAGGCCGTAAATATTGCTGCCTAAATTCTAGGCAGTTGGAGGATGTGTCACACCACTCAGAAAGTCAAGCCTTGGGCAATCCAGTTCACCCCATGATCTACACTAGTCACTGCCAGCAGGACTCTTGGGTTTAAAATCATGTATCTGTTCACTCTCAATAATTAGCACTTTCCTAACACCCATCATACATGAATCACAATCTCCAAGCCAACACGCATCTGCAGCCCCTGAGCTTCCACATGCTCACACTGAATAAATGCACAGAAGTATCTCCAACTCTTTCCTCCTCATTACAGCCTGGACCATTCCAGGAGATAAAGCAAAAGTCAAGGTGTTTTTTTCCTTTTCCCACAAAATCACAGACCTCAGAGCCAAGCTTCCATGACTGGCACTGGTAGGAAGCAGGCAAAGAGCAGGAGTTGTTCCAGCCAACAAGGTGGTGAGGTTAAATGCTTACTCCAAACCAATGCTCTCTGTGACCACTGGCAATCTCTTGCTAATAAACTCACCTCAAATCCCACACACACGGCATTTCAGATTCAAGTAAAATGGAAACGTTTCCTCCCTCCTTGCAAAGGATGATCCACTATGAGAAGCCACTAGTCCTCGTTGCCCACTTAAGTTGCCAATCTCTGAAGGAAAGGAACAAGAATTGGGCCTGAAGGTGTGTGTGGGAAGCTCCTTTATTCTCCTCCAATTCCACTCCCCTCCACTGACACATCACTGTCCTGCTGCTCCCAGTCTCCATGCCAGGTTCCACTGGCACAGGGCTCCACGCACAAAGACAACCACATTCTCCACATCACTAAAGCAAAGCAAGGCACAAGGCAGACCACGTAAGTCAACTCTACTCACAGTCTGGTGAGCTTCGGGTTGCTCTGGAAAAGCAATTCTGGAAGGACTTGGAGCTTATTCTTGTTCAGGCGCCTAAAAATGGAAAAAAGAATAAAAGGATGTCAAGGGGACATTAAATGGGATCAAGTGTAATCACATGCACCACTTCAATCAATCAATCAATCAATCAACAGGCATTAAAAGACTCTCCAGGTCTTTCAACGTGGAATGTTCATCGTGTGTTAAGGTATATGGCATCTTTGCGAAGCTTGTAGTTGAGATGAGGATATGGGACAAATGCCAGTCATAAGCAAAAACACAACATGCATGCTGCTACTACCCTGTCCCAAGCCCAGGAGAGACATTACTAATTGATCACAGTATTCTCTCCCACAGAGCCCTGACTAGGATTTTAAACTTTTCTTACTATGTGCTCCAGGCAGGTCTTATAACATGATGGAGCTAGAATGTAAAATAGGCCCCTAAAAACATAAATAATGTACCAGAGAGAATACTCTAGATCCTAAATGGAGGGGTGTGATGGCAGATAGCTGTTGCTATAGGATCAGAGAAGAAGGTGAGGCAGATCCCCACCGGTTGAGGAGCCATGGGGAATCCCTGCCATCCTGGCTCTTTGGACTAGGGCAGGGCTGCATGTTAACTTTCACGGGTCACTGGCACTTTTGCCTTTGAGGGCCCATTCCTCCATAAGAAAATATTTTAAAAGTATATTTTACAACCATGTAGTTATAAAAATGAATATATTAATATTATTGGTAGAATTCTCACCTTCTTTGCGGAGACCCAGGTTTGATTCCCAGCCAATGCACCTCATGTGTAGCCACCACCCAACTGTTAGTGGAGGCTTACGTGTTGCTGTGATACCGAACAGCTTTCAGCAGAGCCTCCAGACTAAGACTAGGAAGAAAGGCTTGGCAATCTACTTCTGAAAATTAGTCAATGAAAATCATATGGCTCATATTGGTCCAATCTATAACCAATCATGGGAATAGCGCAGGACTGGGCAGAGTTTCTTTCCATTGTGCATGGGGTTGCCACGGTCAGGGGCTGACTTGATAGCAGCTAACAACAACAACAATGTATGTTACAACATTTTTTTCAATCTAACCCATTAATCCATTGGCATCGAGTTGATGCCAACTCATAGTGACCCTACAGGACAGAGTGGAATTGCCCCATAGGGTTTCCATGGCTGTATTCTTTACTGAAACAGACTGCCACATCTTTCTTTCTCCCACGGAGCAGCTGGTAGGTTTGAACAGCTGACATTTTGGTTAGCAGTCAAGTGCTTAACCACTGCGCTACCAGGGCTCTTTTGTCAATCTAAAAGTTCATTTTTTGTTCTAATTTTAAAAGAAATTTAAACATTTTTGTGGGCTCCTAAATGCATTATGGGCCCTGGGCACCGTGCCCACTTTGCCTAATGGAGAAGTCGGCCCTGGTTCAGGGAGCAAGGTCTGGGCATGGGGAGGCCTCTGAGGTTGCCTGAGGTAAAACTCTGCCCCATAGGGATGTCCTACGTTGGACAGTGGCCAACAGACCTAATGCAGAGTCTCTCCTGAGAATTTTCAATACTAAATGTCCACATAGAAAAAGGCCATCTGAGTTTCCCAACGACACTGAGCCACTGTTGTGACGTCCATGAAAGCTGCTCTCCTGAGAGCAAACGTTAGTACAAGATGCAGACCCTGTTCCGTGCTCGCTCCCCGCCCTCTGTCCTGGCAATAAATCCCCAGTACCAGTGGAGCTGTGAATGGGTCTCTTCCAGACATCTTGAAACTTGGTAGTCAATGAAAGGGGACAGTGGTGGTCTGTGGTAGAATTCTCGCTTTCCACACAGGAGACCAGGGATCGATTCCCAGCCAGTGCACCACAAGCACAGCTACCACCCATCTATCAGTGGAGGTTTGCATGTTGCTATGATGATGAACAGGTTTCAGTGAAACTTCCAGGCTAAGACAGACTAGGAAGTAGGAAGAAAGGACTGATGATCTACTTCAGAAAATCATCCAACGAAAACCCTATGGATCATAACGGTCAGATTCCATGTGTACATGGGGGTCGTCATGAGTCAGAGGCTGACTTAACGGCAGCTAACAACACTTCTCACACTAACCCCCAAACCAGTTGGTGCTATATATATATCTTACTTCCCAGAATCTTCGGGAACAAAACAACAGTTTATAGCATGGGTGTAATGTTCTGTCTAGAGTGAAATAAATATGTTCAATTACATGGGGTAACGGTGTAACCCCATCTGAGAGTGAAGCAAAGCGAAAAAGCAAAGGGGGAACTTCTTCTCAGCTTCTGGCCCCAAAGCCCACGCTTTCTGCACCATGCCAAACAGACACAATTCCAAGTGAGATTCTGCTCCTATTTTCCCACTTTCATCCCAGGCCGATGACCAAAAACTTCAGAAGTAAAAAGTGGGTAGAAGGTAAAAAAAATGTCGAGTATACAAGAGAGGAGCATTGAAGACCTCCCTAAGATAAGCCTCCTGCCATAGGAGTGTGCTCCTCAGCCCTGAGGGGTTCCTGCAGTGTGTAGGGGTGTGTGCACTGCGCAGGGAGGCTGCCGGTGAGACTCCTGGTCAGGAGGAGGTGAGGCTGGAAAGTGGAATGAGATAGCCTCTAATCCCTTGCCCACCTCCAAGGCAGCTGACTCCCCGATCAGTGCTCTTCTGGCCACTCCAGGGGCCGCTCTTTGTCACTGAAGGGGGAAGAAAGGAGTGGCCGAGAGGAGGGGACAAGGAGCAGGAATCTAATTACTTGTTCCTATACTTCACACAGATCGTTGGCTGCCATTGAGTCAGCCCCTGACTCATGCCAACCCCATGCACGATGGAAGGAATCACTGCCTGGTCCTGTGCCATCCCCATGATCAATTGTGGATCAGATCATTGTGATCCACAGGGTTTTCATTGGCTAATTTTTGGCAATACGTAGCCATGCCTTTCTTCCTAGTCTGTCTTAGTCTGGAGGCTCCACTGAAACCTGTTCAGCAACATAGCAAATGCAAGCCTCCATTGACAAGACATGTGGTGGCTACACATGAGGTGCACTGGCCAGGAACAGAAGTGGGTCTCCTGAATGGAAGGCAAGAATTCTACCACTGAATCAGCAATGGCCCAGATCATCATCATTAGCTAATACTTATTAGCATTTACTATAAGTCAAGCACTATTATAGGACTTTACATATATGCATTTAATCATTTAATCTGAATACGAGCTCAGTCCTAGTATTATCCCTTCTTTACAGATAAGAATTCTGAGGTTCAGAGGGGTGAGTAACTTGCCCAGAGTAACACAGGTAGTAGGCAGCAGAGCCAAGACTGAAACTCAGACCATTTAGGTCTAGTGTCTGAGTTTTTATCCATGGCACTGTGAAAATTTCTACCAAAATGCCAAGCACATTTTTAGGTGCTCAACAAATATTTCCTCACACATAGTCGTAATCAATCCCTTTACAACAGTTGGATGCCACTGGTCCTGGAGAAGTCATGGAGCTATGGACTTTGAGGTTAGCCAGGGCTTGGCTCAGGGCTGGCTGTATCAAGCACCCACTGTGGGACCTCAGGCAAGTTATCTATCCCTCTGAGCCTCAGTTTTCTATCTGCAAAAGAATCCTACCTCCCAGGGTTACAGTGGGTTTCAAATGACACAGTGTTTACACTCGTGCAGTAAGAGCTTGTCATTGTTGCTAGTTGCCATTGAGTCAGCTCCAATTCATGGCAACCCATGTGTGCCAAGCTGAAGTGCTCCACTGGGTTTTCAAGGCTGTGACCTTTCAGAAGCAGGTTGTCAGGCTTGTTTTCTGAGACGCTTCTGGGTGGGTTTGAATGGCCAACACTTTGACAATAAGAGCAGGGCAATGGTCGTAAAAATAACACTTACTGAATCCAATTTTATGCCAAGCACTGTGCTAAATGCTGGGTGTGCATGATCCCAACTGCAGCAGTGCTTGGAAGCAGGCATTTCATTACCCACATCTCACAGACAGAGAAATAGAGTCTTGGAGAGGTTGAGCAAATTCCTCAGTCACAGTGTGAGGAAGTGGTAGAGGCAGGATTTGAACCCAGGTAGTCTGACTCCAGAGCACTGGTTCTGAACTGCTATATTACTCGAAGTCTTCAGTTAATGCCAGCTCCTTTCCCCTTTTCCTTCTTCTTTCTCTGCTTCTTTTCATCCAGGGTTGCCACCTTCTCTACCCCAGCCCTGACAATGAGCCACCCTGAGTACATTTTCCCTCCATGAAAAAGGTTCTCTGGGAGGTCCCCCAGGGAAGAATTGGGGCTCTACGTAGGACTGTCTGGAACCACCCTCTACTGTCACAGCTGTACAAAGACTCACAGGAGTTACATTCAGACAACTGACACGCCAGTCTAGGGACAAATCCTACAGTCCAGCCCACCATTACCAGCAGTAGGTAGGGTGTTTAGTGTGCTAAAAGCCCTAAACTAGAGTTGAAGCTAAAAATAAAAGCAGCTTGGCTCCAAGACTCCACGAAGGGAAGAAATCATTTCTAGTTCTTTGCTGGTATTTGTGGCTGGACAAAAATAAAAACACAACCAAATTTAGCCAATTGTGCTCTGCTTGCTGCTGCAAACCCTGAATGAGGATTCCAGGGCAGCCTGGCTGGGCTCTGCTCCCAGCAGCCTCTGGGCCTTTCCCTCCTCTGCTTGGGGAGCTCAACTACATCTAATTTCCAGTTCATACCAGGATTTATTCATATTTACTTAGTGAACCAAGCCACCCCGAAAGGTCTTCCTCCAAGAGTGGATGAAGACTCCAAGCCACAGAAGGTGCACTCCCCATGTGGCTGATATGAGAGCAGCCCCTGGGCAGAAAAATGCACAGAATGATGGGCACTGCTCTCCTGATAGAGGGACAGATAAGCACTGGGGTACAGACAGTGGCTACTGCCCATGGCACACTCATGCCAACTGCTGTCTGGTACCTGGGCCCAGAGATCGAAACCTCCTGCTGTAGTTGAAGCTGGAAGTATAGACCTGATGCCTGGATGGAGAGCAGGACCCACATGAGGGCAGACTCCGAGGGGGTCAGGAATCAG